TTAAGTTTGTTTTTAAAAAATATTTTCAATTTCAAAAATTATTTTCTACTCTAGTAAAAGTAAAAGATATTTCTCAAAAACATTTTTCCTTCATAAATCAAACACTAAAAAAAATTTTCCGGAAAATATTTTCTACTCAACAACCAAAAATAAGAAAATAAGTCAAAAATCAAAACATTTTCTAGGAAAACATTTTCCCTCATACCAAACACACCCACAATTAAGATTAATTAATCACGCAATAGGATCATAGAGTATATATTTTTTTAATTTGCATCATTCACCTAAGTTTTCACCTCAGTAATGATGGGAGATTTGCCATTGATTTCTACCACGTTAATAGGCGATGGACATTGCTAATCAAATCTTAACTTTTATGTTATGTAATCCGAGGCGGAGCCAGGATAAAGCATTTCTACGGTCCTTTTTTTACCACTAAGTCATTAATCAATTTTGTTAGAGGGATCAAAAGTTAATAGATGTATATATTTATTTAATTTTCTAATACAAATACAAGATCTACGGAAAAGCTACTAGATTCGTCCGAACTCTTAAACCCCTACTTAGCTCCGCCCCGAATTATGTTGACAAGGTCTACTTGTTCATATATTCTAACTGATTTCAATAATCTCATGATAATTAAATGAAATGTTTAAAGAGAAGTAAAAGGATAATTTAGACAAATATAGTACTATTACAATCAATATTATTATAAAAATAAAAAGAAATGTGTCTGCTCCCTTTTTTGCTAATACAACACAATCCTATCCGAATAATTGATTTTATAAAAGTAAGAAGAAATCAAATAAATAACTAATGATGTGCTAACCATCATTCTTAATCAATAATCAAATCCTAATTGTCAGTCATAAATAAATAATAAACAAAAATATAAATAATTACTTGACTAACTTCTTTTTTTTTTTAAAAAAGAAAATAATCTTAACCTGAAAACAGGTGTCACACAACCATTGAAAGTGTCAAGCCTTATATATCCCTGGCAAGAACGTTTCAAATAATTTCATCATCATTATCTTTGATATTTTAAAGCTCAAATTTTGAAAAAAGTTTTTGTGTGCATTCTCTCAAGCGTTTTATCACGTACTTATATATTAGTCAATCACATAAAATATTGTCACCTTCTTTAATTTATATACATCAATTTCGTTTGAAATTAAAGTCTTACGACTTATTAAGAGTAGCGTTTTTTTTATAGGAGATATACTTTAACTAGTTAAATTATCTATATAATGAGCGTGTGAGAAAACACATACACATAAACTTTTCCAAAATTTGAGTCTTCAAGTATTGTTTCTGTTTGATATAAATAACTTATCATGTGTTCAGGTGTTCAATTGAAACAAGCAACAGTTTGAGTCATATTTACTATTTAAGGCGAGCAATGATGTACGTACCTATGTCTTCCACACATGATAATTAATCTTGTGAAACTTTCCACATATATGTTCATGGAAGATCACACTAATGGAAAGTCAGAGGCTATAACCTCTTCAATTTCTGATCATACACAAGAAAATCCAATGATGATGAGAAAGAAGTCAAGAAAATTGATTATTCATGTGTTACATTTTGTGAGAGACTTGTTCAAGAAAATTGGAGGTATGTTTTCAAAAAAGGATCAACAAGAGAAATCTCAAATTATTTATTCTCCAAGTGATAGATCTTTGAAGAGGAATAAAGAAATTTATGAATCTCAAATGAAAATACTACAACTTGATGAATCTCAATTGGAAGAACTAGGAATTGTTGCTAGTAATCATTGTTGTACTGGTTCAATGACACTTACGAAGATTAGGGAGAAACGTAGGTGGAGGTTTAAGGTGAAAACCCCAGAGGTTCAATCAGGTGGCGGTGGCGGTGGCGGTGGAAGAGGTGGTGGTGGTGGTGGTAATGGTCAAGGGCAAGGGCGAGGTAGGGCACAAAGGTATTCGGTACCAAAATAAGTTAAATTAGTTACGTAGATAAAAAGAAATGATACAATTTATTTTCACATGTATCCATAGTATCCGAATAAGTGAAATTAGTTACCTGAAGGGAAAAAAAAAGAGAGACAACATTTTCCTATGTACCAATAGTATCCAAACAAGTGAAATTAGTTATGTAAAGAAAAATAAAAAGAAGTTGTTTATTTTCACATGTACTGATAGTGTAGTTTTTTTACTAGTAACATTTATTGTTAATTCTTGTTTGATACAATTTTATGTTTATATAATTGCTTCAAAATCATGTGATTAGATGTTCATAGTTTCAGTAATTGTGACACCATCAAGATTAATTATTGACCATGAACCATAATAAAAATGAAGATAGGATGCAGTTGGAGTTATTGTTATTATTAGTAGGAAAAAAAGAGTTTGATAATATACCCTCAATTCTGTCATGTAGAGTTGATATATCGTTTGCTACAAAACTGACTCATATATATCCTTTTTATCTAACGAAGTGAAAATTTTAATTTTAAATTTAAAAAAATTACATAGGGATATAGATGATCCTTCTAGCAAAATTCACTTGTATATTTTTTTTTTTATCATGAATTATTTTTTGACTTCTTTGATTATTATTATTTGAATTTGTTATCCCTTATTTCATTTTTTTTTCTTTCATTCTTTAGTGTAAAAATATGAGAAATAAAAAGAAAGAAGTGTGAATGGAAAAAGAGAAAAACGTACGAGAAAAGTTTAGAACTCATTTTTTTGCGACTATATTGTAATTTAGTTTTTGTAACTATTTGTAAAAAAATAAATTGGGGCATCAATAATAAATTTTACAAAAAAATTAGTGAAAAAAGAAATTTGACCATTAAAATAATAAATTCAAATTAGCCGTTGAATTAAAGAATTCAAAAATAAAATACTTGTAAGAAGAATTATATATACCCCTACATTGATTTAATTTTTTAAATAAAAAATAAATTTAAAAATAATTATTTCACTTTCCATATATATAAGTCACTTTTATAACGAAGATATATCAGCTCTCAACTAAAGTGATATTAAACGACAATGGATTTAGAGGAGTGAGGGGATTTACAAGTTTACAGATCAAGCTCTTGTTATTGCAATAAATATGCCGGAATTTGGCAATAAATATTAAACACTAATCCCACTTTTACTTTACTTAGGGTTAATTTTGACACATATTAAACACTAATACAATTAGATTTAATTTTTTTCAAAAAAAAAATGTAATTATAGATAATTAAATTAGCAACAGGAGTTAATTGTTGATTTAGGTAGCGCAAATTCTATTCCAAGAGGAAGAAGGAATCGTTAAAGAATTTGGTTTTACGGCAAAACGTGGGGGTGAAGTAACAAGAAATTAAACAAAGAACTAATAATGATCAAATAATCAAATCCTAAATTTTAGTCATAAATAAATAATAAACAAACATACAAATAATTGCTTGACTAACTTTCTTTAAAATAAAAATAAAATATTTTAATCTAAAAACATTGAATGTGTTAGTCTTAGTGACAAGAACGTTTCAAATAATTTCATCTATCATTATCTTAATATTTTAAAGGTTAAGTTTTGAAAAAGTTTTTGTGCGCGTTTTCTGAAACATTTATTTAATTAACCACATAAAAAAAAAAAAATTATTCATGCACATTAATCTCACTTGAAACAATTCTGAAGTTTTACGGCTTATTGAGAACTAATGCATTTTTTAAAGAAGATATATTATAACTGATTAAATTGTCTATATAACGAGTGTTTGAAATTAAAAACACACGTAAACTTTTTAAAATTTGAATTGCGTAAGTGTATGATATAAATAATTTATCATGTGTTCAGAAACTCATGAATTGATACAGACAACCATTCGAGTCATGTCTAATACTATTTAAGGCAAATAACGATATATGCGCGTCTCCCCCACACACACATATATAAACTAATCTTGTGAAACCTTCCACAATAGATGTTCATGGAAGATAATTTCAATGAAGATTCAAAGGCTAGCTATTACATCTTCAATTTCTAATCATGTTGAAAATAGACAAGAAAAGGCAATAATGATGAAAAAGAAATCAAGAAAATTGATTGTTGTGTTACATTTCTTTAGAGACTTATTCAAGAAAATTGGAAGTGTGTTTTCAAAGAAGGATCAACAAGAGAAATCACAAATTATTTATTCTCAAAGGATTCCTAGTAGTCATAGCCCTTCCAATTGGAGTACAGTAATTGAAGAACATCAAGTGGATGCCTGTCTTGGTATTGATCCAAGTACACCTAAGAAGGAGAAACGTAGGTGGAGGTTTAAGGTGAAAACCCCAGAGGTTTGTGGCGGCGGCGGTGGTGGTGGCGGTGGCGGTGGGAGGGGTGGTGGTGGTGGTAATGGTGATAATGGTCAAGGTCAAGGTCAAGGTCAAGGGCAAGGGCGAGGCAGTGCGTAAAGGTATTCAGTATCGAAATAAATTAAATTAATTATGTGAAGGGGAAAAAAAAAAAAGAGAGCGTTTGTTTTCACATATATCGATAGTATGATTTTATTACTATTAACATCTATTGTTAAAAATTCTATTTGCTTCAAAATCATGTGATTAAATGCTTGAGTTTCATAATTGTGACACAATTAAGATTAATCAATCATGTAATGATAAATAGATTCTTTCTAAGAGATATCAATCAATTTGGTAAACTATCCAAGTGAATATATTTTTAGATCTAGGCAAGATGATTTAGAGTTTTGTTTTTTTAGTTTAAATCATACATTAAATGGTTAAATAAGGAAAATACTCTACTTGTTCAAAATATATTTTCTATTTTTGAAAAAAAACTTATTTTCTATAGAAAAAAAATTAATTAACCCCAAAAAAGAATTCTCATTCATGAAAATGAAACCTTTTTACCATTCCACCACAATATTTGATGGTGATATACTCATAACTTTTCAGTTTACTATGAAGGAGACAAGAGTGAGGCACCAACAATATTCCACCTCAACCTCCATTAATCATTAGTAAATGTCAATTCAAGACAAAACATAATAATTATTTTTTTTAATAGTGTTCAGTTCTCAAGAAACATTCAATAAATAAGAATAACTTAATAAACTATTTCATATCTTATATTTATCATTTTACACTCTTGTCATTCAATATGGGTTGACGTACATGGAGAATTCTCTTTCTTTTTTTTCTTCATAAAATATGTCAATTCTAACTTTCTCCATGGCCCTATGAATAGATAGGCATATAAAAGCCATCCTAACACCACAATTACTTATACATACATATACACATAACATATACCTTTGTTTATTGTCCTTACCTACATCATACTCCCTCCCTCCCTATTTACTTGTCCATATTTCCTCTTTTAGATGTCCCTATTTACTTGTCCATTTTGACAAATCAAGAAAGGACAAAAAAATTTTTCCTATTATACCCTCATTTAAACTTCTTGAAAATTTAAACTTCCCCCAACATTGATTAGTTATCTTGAATAAATTTATTTTGGAATCATAATTAATAAGGGCAAAATTGTAACTTCACTATGCTAATCATTGTTGCCTTAATATGTGTGTCATTTCTAAAGTGGTCAACTAAATAGGGACAGAGGGAGTATATCTTAAAAAGCTATTTAAAACCATATCATATATTATACGAAGGAATTTATGTCAATGGAAAATAAATCTTACATGATTCGATGGAAGTCAGGAAAAATCGTTGACCCCAGGTTGTTGGAACTCTTGGAATCATTCAAAAAAATCTATGTAAGAAGAAATAAATTTTACCAAGATTTTGTGCGAGTGTTCAAGAAATTTGGTGATCAAACCTTATGGAAGAATAATAATAAGAAGAAGGTGACAAAAATGGCTACTATGCAAAGAAGTTTGAGCTTTGAGAATATTAATATTTCAAGAGATATTAGTTTAGATGATGAATTATCAGAGTTGAGGATTGAACGTTTCAAAGTTAGCACTCCCCCTGTTATGTATTTAGTATTTAGTACTATGTATATTTATTATGGTAATTGGACCAAATGGTGAAAGTGGTCAAATTGATAAAAGTAATAAAAATGGCTATTTTAAAAAATTTATAGTGTGTATATACTTACAATTTAGTGATACTGATAAGAGTCTCTCATGCGATAAAAGAAATGTGTTGTTGTATATAACCAAATAAAGTATGAACTACATAACTGATATATATATATATATATATATATATATTGTATTTAGTACTATGTATATTTATTATGAAAAATATATTATCTATACACTATATAAATATTTTATAAACTAAATGATCGAAAATTCCGGTAGCTTTCCCATTTAATTTCTCCCATGATAATACTGATTTTCATGGGCTTGTGAGTAGATGGGCTCTCATATATGTTGTTTGGGCTAAGGCAGCTCAATAAACATAAAATATTATTCGCTTTAATCAAATTCGTATAATTTTCGCAAATAATCTCATATTATTAAGAACTTCACATTTTATACATAACTTTATTTTAACTATCAATTTGAAACTTTTATTTGCACGTCAAATTGCACAAAGAATTCCCAAAGTAGTTTTAGCGCTTTTGACAACACTTTAGATATTGTATTCTCTTTAATTTATGCATCATTAGCTCCTTGTCCTCTTTTTTGAAAAATGATGTGCAGGCAAGTCAATTAAAATCATAACAAAAGGAAATATTTATTTAGAATTTATATATATATATGGGTTGCGGAATAAAAGAGTAAATAATGTTTTTAAGCAGTGAATACCCTATAATTTTTCAATATTGATAGAGCATTTTGATATTCAAAATACTCCTGTGCTCTATACCTTTTCATTTCATTTAATGAAAATATCAAGGTTTCATAAGGATGACTAGCATATTCATATACTAGTTCCATTTCTCTGATTGCCCTATTCATATGAAATAAAGCTTTTTTATGCTCCCAAGCTCTTTTTCTTATGCTATAGTCTTCTAATTTATTTAGGAATAGATTTCCTAATATTAATTCTTGATCACTTTCGTGATTAGTAATATAACAAGGAACTGTTATTCTTATGGTATCTAGTTGTATAGGTAGATTTACCATATTTTTACAACTAAAGTTATTACCTTCAAAGGTTTTATAGGTGTAATGCTCTCCCTCGTAAATTGGTATTCCATCTATTAGAACACCTTTTACATGGTTAGCTGTTGCTCCTGTTTGTATCAAGATTTCTTGATTTTTCCATTCTGTTCCATTGAAGATTCTTTCATTTATTTTTGTTATATTAGGAGTTTCGATTTTTAATGAGTATCTGTTAGATACACTTTTTCTTATTGAATTTCTTCCATATTCTATTGAAAGTCTAGGATTACTAGTACTTCCTATTTCTTGTTGTTTTTCCAAATCGAATTTCATATTCATCTGGAATTTGGGCTTGTTGAATTTCTGCTTCAACTATTCTTGCAATTCCTGCACATTCTTGATCTATTTCGATCATTCCTTTATTTTTATACACTTTACCATAGTTAGAATTTGTAACTGTGTATAACGCTTGGTAATATATACTCATTATATGATTACCTGGTTTGAATAGATCATTTCTTTTGATTTGAAAATGTAAACTCAATGCGTCATTAAAATCAGCATCTTTGAGTGATATGCAATATTTTGGATAACATGTGAACAAGAGTTTCGTATAGGCTAGGTTTCCCTCTACTATACCAAGATTTCCTTCTCTTGCGTTTATGAATCTTTCATCCGATAAGTTTATTACTATTGGACAGTTGATTCCTTCTTTAAAAGTCGATTTGACTAGTATTTGGATTCCTCCTAAATGAACATAATTCATTTTCTTTCTTTTCTTTTCTGGAATTTCCTAAGAATTTGATCTATCATAGGTTTTGTTAACAGGTTTAATTTATGTTTTCCTGTAGTTTGGGTAATTTCTATTACCTTTTCAATTTCTTGATATTCATGATAAGAAATTTTATCTCTTGCAAATATTCTTTGCATTCTGCTAAGTAAATTATCTTCTACTTTAAGATTCAATTTTAATCCTTGGATTTTTCTGAAAGTTTCTCCATCGAAGGTGGCTTTCAAAGCATATCCTCGATGATCTTATATTTTTTCCTAGGTACATACTTCTGTTTAGAGAAGTTTTTTCTTTTTATTAAACCCTTTTTGGATTGTTTCCTTTTTTTGTAAGGTTTATTATCACATCCCCATTGAGTAGATGCTTTAGTATCTTTACAATAAATTTGTGTATTTATTCTTTTAGCCTTTCTTTGGATGTTATGAGACATGCAAAGTTGACCAAGTCTATTTTTAGGAAATTTATCCTCTGTCCTAGAGTATCTCCTTTTTTGTTTTCTTTTTTATATTCTTCTCTGAAGTATTTTGCCCAGAAGCCTGGTAATTTTTGATAGTATTTTTCTAGATAAGGTATCATTTCCTTACCGCTATCAAATATCTTGTAATAATATTCTTCGAATTCACAAGTGTATTCTTGAATATAACTCATTTTACAGATTTGCAATTTTTCTAGTTGCTCTTTTGCAATGGTTCTTATTGCTTCTTTATTTTCTTTTATATTTCCTTGTCCACCAAAGAATTCATTAGCTATGTATTGTTTTAAATTTGCTATACCTTCTTATACGGAATTCTTTAATCCTTCCAAGGTATCATTTTTGATTATTTTTTCTGAATCTTCTGTTAATCCAGAAAACCAATCATTTACTTTTCCAATGAAAGTGTTTACCATGATGATATATTTTTCTTCATCTGTATAATTTCCTTTTCCTAATAGAAAGTATAGGAGCATGTTTTGAGACCAAAGGTCTAGGCTATTTTCCGGATCTCTTTTGCATTCTAGATCTAGGAATTGAGCCCCAATATCTCCTGTTGAAAGTCTATTTGGCATAAATCTTGATTTATCACTATTATGATAATTTTTTGTAAAATCATTATTCTTTTTTGCTTTATTAGCAAAGTTTTTATCATCATTTTCTGGCTCTTGCCATTCTTCTTTCATTGAAGTAGATGCTTCGAATTTTCCTTGGGGTCCTCCTGTTTCCCCTTTGTTCATGAATACATTTAATTTTTCTGAAAGATTAAGATCTTCCATTGAATAAACTAATTCATATACTAGTTCATTCATCCTTTTGATCTTCTTTTATTTCTGAATTAGATTCTTCAGAGTTATTTTCTAGATTTGTATCTAAATTATAAAGATCTTTCTCTTTTAGTTTTTGTTTTTCTAGAAATTTTTGGATTAATATTTCATCCATGCTTCCTTTTTGATAAGTGCTTGCACTTGCTAATTTTTTATTCAATAATTCTTTTATGTATTTTTGGCTGATTCTTTTATCAATTTTATCAGTTTTTTCAATTATATTTGTTATTCTTCCTGGAAGATTTTCTTTGATGTAATTGATTTCAATTTCTATCATTTTTAACCGT